GTGTGCATCCTGACAGATTTCTGCCCCCATACCTCCCTCCCACATGTGATCATGCAGATGGGTCAAACAAACAGGACAAACAGGAACTTATTTTTAACTGCAAACAAAACTCTTAAGCTGCAAGGTAGATTTTTCCTGTTTTGGTCTCACACCAGAAGGGGTCCCAGCACTGAGAAGGGGGAGTGGACACAGCTCCTGTCCCTAATCAAAAATCTACCCACAATTAACACCTGCCTGCAAAGGAAAAACCAGCTTTCTCCAACCCAATCTCAATCTGGTGTGTTAACACACCCCAGGGCAGGCCCCATGCCCAGCAGCAGGTGGCCAACACGAAACCAACTCAAAGGTAGTGTGTGGACTTCTGTCTCATGTTGTTTTGTTTGAGATAATTTTGTTTGTTATTGTGATTGGTATTTTGCTTGTATATTATGATTTCTGTGTGTGTGTGTGTGTGTGTGTGTGTGTGTGTGTGTGTGTGTGTGTTTACTTTGTTTTTTTAAAGAGAAAGAGAGAAAGGGTATGGAGTTGGGTAGGTGGAGAGGTGTGGGGGATCTGGGAAGAGTTGGAGAGGGAAAAAGCCTGTTGAGAATATGTTGTATAAATTTTTACTTCAATTAAAATAGTAAGTAAATGAATAGACAAACACTCAGTAATAGACATTTATCTTTATAATATAGTAGTGATGTCTGTATGTAAGTTAAGTTCCTCAAATGAGAGGCAAATCACCTGCAAAACAACAGAATCATTCTGTGTCATCATTGACCGTTCTAATCCTCTGTTCAACTTGGGGAGAAATAAGCAAGGAATGAAGTATTACATTTAACACGGATGTACAGAACTTTCCTGTGTCTACCATACAACTGACTACTAACTACTATTAATTTGACACAATAGAGATTGTTTTCTGCCACGAACTAGAAAATAATGCATTCAAAAGTTAAAAAAAAATTGTTCTCTACAAAGGGTGCTGCTGAGTTGACTAGCATCGCTGATTGAAGACTATCATTGGAGACCAAGGCTCTGACAATTTAGCCTGATATTTATGCAATGTAACTTGCTGCATATTAAAAGTTCATTCTTTGTAATTAAAAAAATGTGTGTATGCACGCATGCATGAATGTGTGTGTGCATTTATTTATGCACACATGCTCACATGAATGTATGATGCACATGTTTGTATATATGTATACATGTGTCATATATGTATGGAGAACAGCCTTGAGTGTCATCCTCATGAATTCAGTTCATCTCCTTTGAGACATGGTCTGTTATTGACCTTGAGCTCACCAATTAGGCTAGACAGCTGACTGTGAGAAGTGTAGACTCCATGGAGTTACTGTCCTCAGATTTTAAAGCAGGAGCTCTAGCGTACAGCACCAAGAAGGGCCTTGGAAGGGAGAGGATGCCTCAGGAGTTTCCCTAGTTGGAGTTAAAGAAGACACAAAAACATCTCATTAGAGCTTGGAAGGGTTTGTGGTTGGTTTTTTGATACTATAGGGACACAATGGGCAGATAAATACTCTGGCTGCAGAGGGATGTGCTAATAGAGACTGGAGGAGTTTTTCCGAGACAAGGTTTTCTCTGTTTAGCTCTGTGCCTTTCCTGGAACTCACTTTGTAGCCCAGGCTGGCCTTGAACTCACAGAGATCTGCCTGCCTCTTCCTCATGAGTGCTGGGATTAAAGTTGTGCACCACCACTGCCCAGCGAGGACAGTCCTTTTCATCACATGGGCGGGCTGCCTAGGAGCCCAGGAGAGACATGTACTCAGTGGTAAGAAAGTTGCACAGGAGGCAGGGAGTGATGGGGACAGATGAGTGACCTTGGAGGCAGGCGTCTTCTCATGCACAAGCAGGTATCTGAGGAACTAGTGGAGGTCCAGAGTCGAAACTCTGATACTATTCAGATCCCACCCTGCTTCCATCTGTGAACTAAAGTTCCTAGAAAAAAGCTAAAGATTCTGCAAGGCTGACTGACTGATGAGCATTTCCTGATTGTGGAGAGTTAGAATGTTGCAAATCTAGAACCAACTTACCTTGGGCTGTTGTTAGTCTCTTAACAGTCCTTCTGTTGCCCACCCGTGTCAGACCTGACGTATCTTTAGCTATCAAGCAAACCTTCCACCAACCCCAAAGCTAAGAATGGACGGCATCAGATAATAGAGCAGACATTTCTCCACTTTAGGGTACTCCATCCACCTGGTATTATCACCAACAATTTGGAACATGCCCTGGTTTGTGTTTTCTTGGGCTATGGTTATTCAAACTTGGCCCACAATAAATTATCTTTTATTTTCTTTTGGCCGACACATGGACACGTTTTTTTAAGTATGTGTGTGTGTGTGTGTAAATTTAAGCAATGACTTCCAAATCTCTTTTCTGAGTTCCAGTCTTGCATATGGAGCAGCTGCCTCAGGCTTTCCACATGCGTGGGCATTCCAGACTTACCATGAGTCAAATAGCATATTTAGGTGCCATTCTTTCCTATAGATGGCCTTGTCTCTGGACCACCCATCACTGAGTCCCTTTACAGGTAGCTGGTCAAGCCAAACCCCTGAGCAGTGATGAGGGGGAGGGAGAGGGAAAGAGTGGAGATCCTGGGAGGCTTACGCTTTGATCCCTTCCTCTTCCGCATGTGTGATTGGCTCCTTCTCATTGAAAGGATGATTCCAGCCCAAGGAGACACAGTTTCTTGCTTGGGTTTGTATCCACAGCTTCTAGCTAGTCTTGATGAGTCTATTTTGCCTCCTCTATCCTGTTCTCCACAGACTAGTCAGTGTCCAAATGCTCACCTGTGGTTCTCTACCCTATTGCTGGTGGACTGCCAGGCTTGGTGGCCTGCATCTTTCTTCTTCCTGATCTCCATCACATTCCCCTTTCTTCCTGGTCCACACTGCATCCAGCCACACTGTATCCTCTCTGTACCTCAAGTCCATTGACTTTTTTTTTTCCAAGTGAGGACTTTGAGTATTGTTCTTTATCTGGCCAAATTATATAATCATGCTTTTTTTTTTTTTTTTTTTTTTTTTTGCATGCTACCTCTCTCTCTGCTTTAGGAGGTAGACAAATATCTTTTCAGGCATGTTTTGCTGGCCTTCATCTTTAAAATCCAGCATCCTTTTATCTATTGCCATCTCACCCTGGGTATTTATTTTATAACACAACTTTAATTTTTTGTTTGTGTACTTATTTTTTAATGTATCTTCTCCACTAAAAAGCTAACTTCCATGATAATAGAGACCTTAACCACCATGTTTCTCATGGTTTTCACATCACTAAGAACTGTGCCAGGCATTGAGAGGTCCTGAATATACTGATTGGTCAGCTGAATGGATCTCTCCATGCTTTGCTCAAGGCTGAAGATGTTCCAGGCTTTAACTTAGGCCTGGCTTCATGATGATGTACATGCAAAAGCTTTTCTTATCCATTTGTAAAGTAAGAGTTTGGGACTAGATGACTTCTAAGGGCTCTTCTGACTTTCAGAATCCTGCCTCTATGAATTCTGAAGCTAATAGAAACAAATGAGAATACGGTGTTGGAGGGAGGGCTCACTGGGCAACAATGCTTATTGCCAAGGCTGACAACCTAAATTAGATCCCCAAGACCCAAGAGAGTACTGACTCCAAAATGCTGTCCTCTGAATTCCACATTCATGTTGTGGCATATGTATGCTCATTCATATACACACCTACAATAATTAAAATTTAATAAAATATAGTTATTATTGTTAGTTGACCTTTTGGTTCATGTTTTCCAACTTGATACAAGCTGGAGTCATTTGGGACAGGGAGCCTCAGCTGAGGATTTGCCTCCATCAGATTGGTTCCTGGGTGGGTCTGTGGGAAATTTTATTGATTAGTATATACCTACTGCTGTTTCAGCCAATAATTTCAGCTCCACAGTTGCTGACCTGCTTCTCAGGTTTTATTTATCACTAAGACTTGGGAGTCAGAGGCTGGGGTGAAAACCTGCTAGCTCAGAGAGGTTGAGGAGCATTTAGCTTATCTTCCTCTTCGCCAGTGTCTCAAACCTTAAACCTGTGAACAAATAAACCTGTGGAATGGGTTTATTTAAGCATGGATCCTTATGAAAACATACAAAGTACTGTGAGAAATGAAAAAGAAGCCTCAAAGGAAATACGGTAACATCATTAAAAGTTGTTATTATGGGTTTCAGGGATTGTGGGTGACTTTTCCTTGTCTTTTAGAGCAGCCTGTATTTTCTAAAGTTCCTGTAATGAACACACAACTTGTTTGCAGTGTGGGGAAAAAAAAAAACTTTCCCAATCTTTCAAATAAAAAATAAAAAAGATGAAATAAAGAAAGGCAAGAAAGAAGGAAGGAGCAAAAGAATGAAAGAAAATTAATCAGGGGGTTAGAGAGATGGAGCAGCAGTTATGAATGCTTGCTGTTCTCCTAGGGGCCGGAGTCCAGCTCCCATCTCCATGTCAGTAACAGGGCTGACAACTGCCTGTTACCCCCTCCCCAGGGGATCTGATGCCCCTCTCTGGCCTCCTGAGGCCCCTCCATACACAGGGGGCCATATCAGACAGACAGGCTCTGGAGTACCTACATAGGTGTAGCACACATTCATGTAGACAGACAGGCAGCGGGCACCTATATATGAGCGGCGTACATTCATACATGCAGACAGGAGGCATACACATAAAGATAAGACAAATTTGTTTTCAAAGGAAAAGAAAATCCTAAAAGCAACAGATTTGCAATCATAAAACTCGAGCAATTAATTGTTATGTGCCTCTCTTGCTGGAAGGCAGAACACAGAGGGAGGTGGGGGGAGGGGGGAGAAAGGGCCATGCATGCCAGTTGGGAATATCCTGGTCTGTAGCATCCCAGCACCGACATCTGATGTGCCTCACCTTGCTCCTTGCTCAGAGGCCACTTCTCTCTTCCTGACAGGAGAGTGTTTACAGTGGGCCCTTTTTGAACTCTTCGAGAATCCTTCTCGTGTCTCCCTTGTGACCAAATGACCTTGCCTTTCAGGCCACAGCAGAGAAGTCTCCTGGAGCCTACTTCCTTCCTGAGTTTGCACTCTCCCCTCAGGGAAGCTTCCTGGAAGACACCACCGGGGAACAGTTCCTCACCTATCGCTATGACGACCAGGTAAGGACACTGTAAAAAGACCCTTCGCGGGCTCTGCCTTTCCTGTCCCAGAAATGCTGGCAAAGGCCTGGGAGAGGCTCGGTTCGGAAGAGTGCTAGCTTGCTGTGTGAGCATGAGAACCTGAGTTCGGCTCAGCGGCGTCCACACAAAAAGCCGTGTGTAGTTGCCTGTGCCCGGAAGCCTGGTGCAGGGCAGTCCGATCAATGAGGCTCATTGGAGGTCAGCCGAGAAGGTACAGCCCGAGCTCCCGATTCAGTGGGAGACTGTCTTAAGGGAATACGATAGAAAGTGACGGAGGAGGACAGTCAGTCTCCTCTGGCCTTCACAGGAACACAGGTGCACACATGATAGATACACATTGCACACACAGTGTCCGCACAATCCTACATTATGTTCCTCTGGGCAGTACTAATATAACAGACCCTTGACACCCTATTGGGGCCTGAGGCTGCTGGCTACAGTGACTCCCTGCCCTGTGTGCATGTCGGCTCTGCCCGGAACACTGGCTCAAGAATGACTTGTGTTTCTCTCAGAAGAGGTGTTTTAGCTATGTTAAATTTATTATTATTCCCAGAGAGAATTATCTGGGGATTCTGAATGCGTAGACTTGCTCCTTGGTTCTCTTAGCTTTCACTCCGTTTCTTATGGGAGTCTCTGCCAATGCCGCAGCCAGCAGAGCAATGGTCTTAGTGAGGCAAGACTCAAACCTGTGTTGGTTCAAGCTCCCAGAGTCTAACACCAGGCAGTTTGTTTTAGGCATATTTAAGACAGTACAATTTGGAAAAAGGTTTCCTGGTATAACACAACCTGTGTGTACAAGGAGACATAATTACATTGAAATGCTTCTCCAAGTATATGTTACTTCTTCCATGAAGATGAGTTCTAGAAATAGATATAGGGTGCATTTGTTATCATAAGGCCTAGGTGTTGTATAGGTCATGCAGATAGCATTGAGGGCATCTGGTTTATTAGCCACCTCCAGTCCCGGTTGTGGGAGTTTAGGGGAGCTCCGGGCCATATGGATAATGCAAACGCCACCTAGACTATTAGCCACCTCCAGTCTTGCTTGAGGAAGCATGGTGTGGCCTGGCCCTACAGAGAGTGCAGATCACCAGGCTGTTAACCACCTCCATTCCCGGCCTTCTGATGGAAAACAGGTTATGCATCTCTCCCTTGAAGAGACAGTCCTGTGTGTTTAACATTCCTGGTTTCCCCAGTGCCTATCTGTGAGCTCATGGACCTCTGTGCTCCCCACAACTTCTTTGCTAAGCCCATTTCTTAGACTTTAAAAGACAATGTGTGCAGTGTGTGTGTGTGTGTGTGTGTGTGTGTGTGTGTGTGTGTGTGTGAAATCACTTCACAAAGGCTAACCAGAGAATTGAACCATGCTTGGCTATGATGTGGAAACTGGACACTCAGAGCTGTGATTCTCTTTCAATCTCAATTCACAGGGTTAACAGTTCAGATTAGACAGGTCTTTGGGATCATCCCCAAACTGTGACCTAGAATGCCGGCTCTACAAAGGGCAGAGGTTTAGAGATGAATACCAGAATTCTAGGAGCAGTGGCAGAAAATGGGGGGTGGAGATTTAGGACCTGGGTAGCTTCTGGCACCTAAAGGCCCAAGCAGAGATGAAGAGCTGGTCACAATCACTTTGTTATGGCACACAATGGCATGGAGGGGGATGGCTGATGTTTTGGGACCAGCTGTCTTGTCTTCAGCTGTGTGGTCAAAGGCCAGAACCCTGTGGTTGGTTTAGGTGGACCTAGGATGACATCCCTCAGGAGGAGAAACTCTTGAGAGACTTAATCTATTGACATACGTGTGAGATGGGACTACAGGGAGCAGAATCAGCTCTAGGGCTGGCCAGACCTGGACTGGGTGGGCTGTTGGTAGAATGGGGACTAGAGTCTCACCTAGTGTGATTCACTGGGGACTGGAGTCTCACCTAGTGTGATACACTGGGGACTGGAGTCTCACCTAGTGTGACAGGCTGGTACAAACAAGAGCCTGGAGCAGAGGGGGCAGATAGGGAAGCCCTATTGCCCAGGACTCTATATCCCCAATCCTTGGGGCTGTTACCAAGTTACCTACCCTTGGTGAATTTAGTTCTACATCTGGGGTGGGGAATGAGGGGCAGGACTGTGACACAGCAGATTGCCTGTTGATACAGAGATGCACAGTTCACTGGGGGTGTAGTGAGACAAGATGGAAGATTTTAGCTGAAAAGTTCAACATTCAATTACTTCTCCAAGATCCCCAAAACAATATGTTCATGGGAGCTGGGCTGAGCCAGGTTAATTGTGGATTCATATCACTAGTCCAGTCATTTGGGGCTGGTCCCCAGTAAGACTCACATCACATTAACCTGTATTCTGCTTTCTATGCTATGGGTCTTTAAAAGGTCTGTAACTTCTAGCTCCCTCTAAGCCAGAAATCAATACTCCAACACTTTTCAAATGAGAGCTTTAGAGAAACCAAGTGAGAAACGCTAAGAATAAAGCAGGTGTCTGGAGTAAGTAGCTATGTATTTTATAATTAAGGCATCTCTAATGCTTTCTCCAGATTCCACAGATACATTATATGTAATAAAACAACAATATAAAAGCTAGAAAAAGCCGGGTGGTGATGCACTCCTTTAATCCCAGCACTTGGGAGGCAGAGGCAGGCGGATCTCTGTGAGTTCAAGGCCAGCCTGGACTACTGAGTGAGCTCCAGGAAAGGCTCAAAGCTACACAGAGAAACCCTGTCTCGAAAAAAACAAAAACAAAAACAAAAAAAAAAAAAAGAAAGAAAAAGAAAAAGAATATTTGGGGTTGGGGATTGAGCTCAGTGGTAGAACACTTGCCTAGCAAGTGCAAGGCCCTGGGTTCAGTCCTCAGCTCTGAAAAAAAAAAAAAAAAAAAAAAAAACCTAGAAAAGAGGAGGGAAACTAGGCCCTGTTCATTTTTCAAATGTTCTAAAGCAGCTCCTGGAAGTGTGCATGCTGTGGAGATTTTACTGCAGACACATTGTTCCAGAAGGCCCAGTGAATAGCGTGTGAAACCACTTTGTGTTACCTCCACATTATGCCTCTTTGAAGGGAAAAGGACGAGATCAAAAACAACAAACCGATCGACGTTGAACGTCAGTGTGGCCGTCTTACTTACGTGCCTTTGGACACGTTACTTCTCTGCCCTATTGGTCTGTCTTCTCTGGAGTGGAAACATTGGTGATAGCATTTTTCCGGAGACTGTCTGAGTACTTTAAGGTGATCACGCATGCATTTCTCCTTGCACACGTGAGCATTCGGTTTGAACCATGGTTACTGCTGGCCATATTATTGACAAACATGCAATTCATAGATTCTCTGACAAGCTCATGCTAGTGGAAAAGACAGAAGCATATGTTCTCACAGCAGAGGATTCCCATGTAACATTTTAAATTTAATCTTCCTGGTCTGGAGGGATAGCTCATTGGTTAAGAGCACGTGCTGCTCTTGCAGAGGACCTGAGTTCGGTTCCTAACACCCACAGGGGATGGGGTTCCTAGCATCCACAGGGGATGGCGCATGATCACCTGCTACTGCAGCTCCAGGAGGTCCAGTGCTCTCTTCTGGCCTCCACAGTCACCTGCGCCTGCAGTGTGCCTATGCTTCCCCACATACACATGGTAAAAAATGAAGATAAGCCGGTGGTGGTGGTGGTGGCGCACACCTTTAATCCCAGCACTGGGGAGGCAGAGCCAGGTGGATCTCTGTGAGTTTGAGGTCAGCCTGGTCTACAGAGTGAGATCCAGGACAGGCACCAAATCTACACAGAGAAACAGTCTTGAAAAACCAAAAAAAAAAAAAGAAAAAAAAAAGATAAATCTTAAATTAACTTTTTTTTTTAAAGGCATAACCTCACATGGTAAAATGAAGACATATCTGAGTTCTAGAACTTGATGGAGTTTTCAGCATTTTTTTTCACCTGTAAAACAACTACCAAGATGAAGAAACAGAACGTTGAGCTCCATGAGGGGTCCCTGCCTTCTTTTCTAATCAGTATCCACCATCCAAGAACATCAAATGCTTTTGACTTCTGTCCTTGGTGTAGGTTGGCTTTGCTTACGGTTCAGTTTGTTTTTACGTGGGTAGAATGTATGGCACGTACTTGTTGGTGTCTGGCTCCTTCCACACATCATGTTTCCGAGAGCTCTGATCAAGTCTTTGGATCCAGTCTCACCCAAGGTTTAGTGTCTGGCCGTCAGTGGGAACCCTCAGGTGAGACAGTCTGCAGCGCTCTGGGTGGCACGCTGTCATGGTTCCTTCGCAGGAATCCCCAGATTGTCCCTAAGTGTTTTGCAGGGCAGTAGATGCAATGATCCCATACCTGGGGGAGGGGTGGGGCAGTGCTTGTTATGTCACAGCCCGCAGGAGGGGTGGGGTCAGTGGCTGTTACCCAGGGCAGCTTGGGGCGGGCGCTTACCTGCCAAGTTTGAGTGTTGGTGCCAGAGGTGGTTTGCCCTCACCTCCTTGAGCCAGACTGACGAAGTGCCTGTGCAAATGAGGCTCCCACATGGACTGTAGAGTGGTTGGGGCCGAGGTGGGTTCCCTAGGCTCTTCCTCATTACCAAATACTCATTTGATAAACTAGGAAGCAGGTGGTAGGTGTGTAGACATTGGCTTTCGTGAACAACTCCCACAGGACTCTTGAAAGTATTTTATCCTGGGCACATTTTCATGAAGACCTTCAGGTCACTTTCCAAATGTCTTCTGGATTAGGTGCCTGGAAAACTAATAACCCTTAGGCCTGTAAAGCACAGCTGTGATGTAGGCTGTGTTTAATGAGACGCATAAAAGCCACATCGTGGTTTATTCGGGAGTGGAAGCAGCTTCTAGGGAGAGAGCAGCCTGAAGCTAGCCGGCTGCCCCCTGGGCTGCAAGCAGGATTAGCCAGGCGGCCTTCATGTCGCTTCCATCTAATGAGCTTGTAATTTAACAGTGATTTGACATCTGCGGACCTCAGATCCTTCAACTA